ATTAATTTTGGTCCATCTCGCCCAGACCTACATGTACCATCAGTTTATTTATTCTCATACCACATGTTCATAATCTCAATCTTTCACAAATTCCAACTGGCATCCAACGTTAAAATAAGTACTGTTTGTTATGACTTTAAATTTATAATCTCCTTTATTAATTTGAAAATATTTCTTTTAATTTCTTGCAGTGGTCCTGGATCTAATTTTAACCAGATGAGTAAGGTATAATAAATACTAATTTAAAGCGACATATTTATGGATTTTCACCCCCACATTTATAAACCACTTTTTGGTTGAGATTTTTCATTCATTCTGACTGAAAAAATTGAACACAATAACATTTTCAGCCGCTAGATGGCACTTGATAGTATGGCATGCCATTGTGTCATGTAATAGGTAAAAGTGGCTATTAATGACACAATCAGCTTGCCAAAGACTGCCATCTTTTTCCAGCTCACTTGGAACAAACGTCAAATCAGCTTCATTTCACTGCGCTGCCTCGGCGAAATGCAGCTGATTTGACCATTAAACTGTGTTTTTTAAGTAAAAGTTCAACTGAGACACACCTTTACTATAATGTCGAGCAAACAATTGTTTTTAGGTGGTTATCTTGTTAAATTTGGAAGAAATGCACAGCGAGTCCTCCTTCCTGATTTCCTCCTGTCTGCATGCTCCTGGGAGCACCGAGGCAGCGAATACATTTGAAATGCAGATTTCACCGTTAAAAGTTCTTTTATTAAGTAAAAGTTTAATTGGGACACACTTTTACTATAAATTCAAGCAAACAAACAATTGTTTTTAGATGTTTATCTTGTTAAATTCAGAAGAAATGCACAGCAACTTGTCCCTCTGCGTGTTCCTACTTCCGTGTATCGCTTTTGAAAATGCAGCCGATTTGATCGTCAAAGTGCATTTATTAGGAAAAGTTAAACTGAGACACACCTTTACTATAATTTCGAGCAAACAAATAATTGTTTTAAGTGTTAATCATGTTAAATTCTTGTTAAAGTCCTCCCGTGCACGCTCCCGCAGCTGCCATTTGGCAGTCAATCGATTTTAGACAACACTGGCCCACATTTCCAGGTTTTCAGCGGTGATGTGTAACAAACGCGTCAGTGGTAGGGCTGGGCCATATCATATTGCTCACGATAATATCAGTAAAAACATCTTGCCCAGGAAAATAAATGACATCACGATAGGCTAATTTCGTGACATAAATACGTCATCCCACCACGCAGCGGATTATGCAGCGACGAAGGCATGAACGTAGACATCTAATCTGAGCACTGTTTTAGAGCGGGCGGGACACAAGACACATCTGAGCTGAACGCTGTTTGTACCGACAGTTTCTGAACCATCGGCGTGAGTGAAGACGTTGTGTTTAGCATTTTAGCTAGCGCGCTGCTAACTTGGAGTTACGTCAGCGCAGGCGGGTGGGGCAGGGGTGCGCGCAGCTTGGTTCTGATGACGCGGCGGGGCACCCCACTTGTATAATGGCAGGGGAAACACTGAATGCATCAACCACCAATTTATGGTCAAGTGGGACCATGGAGCCTGACCCGAGTCTGACTGCACTATATTAACAGGGACTGGGAACTGTGCAGCTCAAACCTCGAGAGCAGCTGCTTCCTGAGGATCATGAAACTGGTTGATGGTTCTGATCAGCAGTCCTTTCAGACAGCATTTCATTTGTTTTGTCACAACTTTTGGAAGCTATAGCTCATTTAAAGGCAACATATTTTTGTTGTATGTTACATTTATGCTCAACAGATTTTAAACTTCATTTTATTTAATTTATTTGGGAACTGAACCTGCACTTTAGTTTTTGTGGTGGATTTTGTTGATCTAAAAAAAGTTAAGTCAGGTCCTCTGGACATTCAAAAAACAAACAAAAACAAAAAATATTCTAGAAATGTTTCGTCTTTCATCCGAAGTAGCGCCTTTCTATTTTATTTCAAGATACTCAAAGCGCTTTACACGACAATCTGTGCCTCATTTACCCATTCATACAGCACTCTACTAGATCTCTACAAAGCTAATTGAACAAATCATTCTAATGAGACTAATCAGAGCTTTAGATCACATTCATACACCGATGGGACACACATCGGAGGTGATGAGGGGTTCAGTGTCTTGCCCAGGGACACTTTGGCATGTGACCGCTGGTGGATTTGAACCCCCAACTCTTGCATTGGAGGACGACTGCTCTAACCACTCAGCCACAGCCGCCCACATATGGCAAAACAACGTATTTATGGATTTTTCCACTTTATTAGACAGACTGGTACTGATGCGACTTATAGGATGGAGCAAAGTGTACGGAGGAAAAGACAGTAGTTAAAGGCATATTTGAAAAATTAATGCAAATGTCAAAACCATTTAAAAAAACAAAAACAAACAATGGCACCTGGTAGTTTGCGACCTGAAAAGGAAGAAGCGGATAAAGATAATGGACGGATGACACCACCGGGTAGTGACGTTCCAAGTTGCTGCCTAACAGCGCTTTTCCAGTCAGCATGTATTTTTTATCCTCAACACCACTACCACCTGATTAAACTCTGGGGAAACAACAAAAACTACTTCCTCAGTTTTTGCTTCTGCCATTTAGGTTATTTTGAAGGAATTATAAAGCGTATATTGGAAGCTATGGTCAGGGTCATATGGGCGTGCGTGCCAGAAAATGTGCATCCCCTCATATATTGATTTTCTGGTTCGATGAATATGAAGGAATACAAATATATATAGGCTAGTAGAATTAGCAGCATGTCTCTGTACCCAAACCTTTGTTTCATGGGGGGTTTCAGCTGCAGGACCTTGGGTGAAGAAACTAATTAATTTACCACAAGGCCCAAGCCTTTGGATACTGTCATTTAAAAAGCAAAAATGTTAAACAGGTCTTTAAACATAGCGCTGTTGCAGAGATTGGTGCTCATTAAAGGTGCTTCATCTGCTTTTAAATGGTTTGTTGTTGTGCAACACCCACTGGTGTTGTATGAAACCCCTCCATCTCATAGGGGTTGAATCCATGTATTTTTGTTTCCTTAACTAGGTTTACTAGGTTCAGAAGCAGGTGTTAAAAGTTAGGAATAGAGAACCAGGTTAAGGATTGGACAAACACCAACCTTACTTATAATTGTGGAAGTAATAATAGTTCTTCAGCAGATGACAGCAACAACATTGAGACTGCCGCTAGGGCAAATTCTGAGCATAAAGTGGCCAAAATCTGCCAAAGCACAAAGTGGAGGAAGAACAAAGTAACCAGAACTTGTAAAGTAAGTTTTATACGGGAGTTTCTGTGCAGACGAGCCTTCTGCCTGGCAACAAGCGTGCCAAGGCAGTCCAAATGAAACCCAGAGGCAAGACCTGAATGTCAGCTTCACAAGATTCAAATAGGGACATAAACACATCTATAACAGATCGTGTGTCAGATTTATTATTAATGAGCAGGGCTATAGTTGCAGGCACCTAAACATGAATGACTATGAAGGTGTTAAAAATATAAACCCATGATTTTAATGAGGAAGCAAAGTAAACAGGAAGATGGGAGACCCCAACTACAGCCCAAACATTTAATTATTTCCCTGACTACTTATATTAAATAAATATACCTAGTTTGTTCTTTTAAATGAAATATGCTATATACTGTTACAATATGACCAACAGGTCAATAGCAAGTGTTGCTAACATGTAGGTGAAACAAACAAAACAATTATTTAAAGGTACAACAAATCTCAAATACAATTAGATCATTGTAAAGACGTTGTTCAAATCAATTATGATATACTTAAAGGTGAAAACATATAAGCTAATATCACTTATTATAACAAACTTAAGCAAGCTTCTCTTTCTAGAGGAAAAACAGGATAAAAATGATTTTATGGCTAAAGCTAAATTGGTTACACGAAAGCCGAAAAAAAAACCAGTGACTGACACAAATAACCTGAAGTTATAAAGCGTTTCTGTGAGATCCATTACTTGTGAAAAAGTAGCGATTTCGTTAAAGTCGCTTGTTCAGTATGGAGGTTTCGTGTTGACGTTGTACACACGAAGCGCACGATATCGCGCCACACTCAGCACGTGCAGCTCCGCTGAGGGCTAACACAACAACAACAACAACCTCCACCACCACGGGAACACCATTTTCCACACAAAGCGCAGGTTTAAATTAAAACTCACATTCGGGGAAGCTGCAGAGGTGGAGCCCCTCTTCTCTGGAACACCCCATCCACGAACACCCCGTTTTTACCGAGGCACCGCAGATAGAATTCACCAGTGCCAGTACCGTTTTCTCTGGCTGTGAATATTTCCAGATGCCGCCGGGAGATGAAGCTCGAGTGGCCCATACTCACGTCCACCGAGCCCTGAGAAGAGTTCCGGCCGATAGTCACCGACCTTTTCTTCATCAGGTATTCGAATTCTCGGCCCTCCAGCCGGGCTATCGCCGACCCCGACATCCCGCTTACCACCGCCATCTTCGAGGTGTCTAGTAAAGATTTAGAGGTGTGGGCTGAAGACAAAATGTAGAGGTTGTTTCTGTAATTGAACAAGGGCGGGTAGTTTTCTGGGTTAGCAAAACAAGGTCCAATTTTACACCGTGCAGAATTTAGCTAGGAACGTGCCAGACCGGGGACACAATCGCTCAGACCTTACAACGTGAAAAGGAGGAAGGAGAGCGTGGAGCGGCCAATCAAAAACGGACAAAATGACGGAAGTGACTTGACGGACAGCCCGTTTGTCCAATCAGAAACGATAACCGGTTAGCAGATGTGTGGCGTTTACCAATGACAACAACAATAAATATAGTCGTAGAAAAGTGGTTCGGTTGCAGCGCAGTATGACACGCAAAGGGACGGAGAACTGAAAAAGCCGGGTGAATGGTTTTAAACGGCTGGGGAATTTAAGTGAACAAATATGGCTGCTATTCAGCACATTTTAAAGATACTGAGATTAAATTATGTGTTGTACTCTATCTATATACCATATAT